TTACTAGCATCATTAGTATTATGCATTATGGTTATTCTCATCATTCGTATGATTATTGGTATTAATGTTATTCGAATTATTGTTAGTATTATTGGCCTTCTTACTATTCTTGTTATTATTTCTCCTCCTCTTCCTCCTCCTCCTCTGCCTTCCTTCTCCCCCCCTGCCCTGATCGCCCGGCGCAGAGGCCCGCCTCTGTGTGCGATTGCTTGAGCTTGATTTTTGTCCACGCGCTGGACAGCGCATGGCTTGTGAGTAATGACGCGGGCGTCTGCTTGTTCTCACCCGACCGTGACATTGCATCCGCCCCTGGTTACCGAGTTGTTTTCGGGTCAGAACTCGGCTCCCTGGCGACCGTGAGGGACGATCCGGGCACCCCTGGAACGCCCTCGGCGAGGCGCAGCTGCAGGAGAGCGCCACCGAGGCTGGAGAACCGTCGAAAACCTCGACCGCCGAACTTCGAAGAGCTCCCCCCCTGGCGTTGCCACTTTGGGTGGGGGTAACTGGGTACGGCAGATTCGCGCCCCCGTCGACAGGCGACCACCCCGCCGCTGGCGTCCAATGTGGAACGCCGCCGGCGACCCAGACTCGGTCGATGCTGAACGACCGGACGTTGCGGAAACGGCCGATCGTTCAGGTTTGAGCGACCGCCGCGGTGCTGGGAACCAGCGCCGAAGTCGGCACGACAAGAACCTGCCGAAGTGTGTGGGCGGGGGGCGCGAGAGGGCGTCACGGCTCTAGGGCCTCGCTGCCGCGAGGGGAGCGAGGAAACGTCGCCCGCGTGCGGCCCTCGCCCTCCTCCCTGCCCCTCGGCTTTCGAGGGGTGTCTCCCCAACTGTGGTGGTAATTTGGTGGGGGTCTCGAAGGGGATGGGGATGGGGATCGGTTAACCGATACCGATCGACGGTATGTGCAAACTACAAATTCGCGCCCCGCCGTTCGCCCTAACACAATGAGCGCGCGCGATCCCAGCCGCACCGGCGGAGCAGGAGCGGCAACGACGGCCGGCCTCCGTGTCCGCGACCTCCGTGCCGCGGGGCTCCTTCATCGAGAGGGCGAGCCTGGCGGGAGCCATCAGAGTCGGGAGGGAGCCCTCCTCCTCCTTCCTCCTCCAATTCCTCCAAGTCCAACTCCTCCTCCAACTCCTCCTCCCCCTCTTGGGGTGCGACAGTTTCTCCAGCCCTTGGTTCCTCTGCATGCTTCCCCACATCCCTGATCAAGGCAAGTCGTCTGGACATCGTTGCTGGGTGGGCTGGTGGGGTTACTTTTTTACGTCGCGGCCACAGGCGAAGGAGCCAGCAGCAGAAGCAGAGTTGGCTCGGGCTACGAGCGAACAGCTGGTGGGGTTAATTTTTTGACGCAACCGCAAACGAAAGCGCAGGCGGCGAGTACCGGAACGGGCGGGCCGCGCGCGAACCTGATTGCCTGACGCGCCAGCAAAAAGAGGCCTAGGCGGCACCTCAGATCACCAGAAGCGGGAGGGGGTGCGGGCTGCAGCTGCCAGGAACCAGGTCCAGGAGCGAGCACATGCAATTAGCCGACCGAAGTTGGGGCGCAGCCAAAATGGCGCGGGACTGGTGGGGTTACGCGTAGCGGGAAGAATTGTGAGGGCCCCCCAAACGGTGAGGTGACCGCGCCGTTCGGCTGCAGTCGGGCCGCCGACACAAAGAACGGAGCCCCTCTTTGGCCCCACAACCGCCTGCGTGCACGAGGACCGCTGGAGAAACAGCCATGGAAAAAATCAATCGAGCCCCCTCCGAACCGACACTGCTCCTCATTCCAGCGTCTTGGCTGTAGTAAGTGGGAATTCTAAGACGAGGCCGACGACGACGACGACGACGGCGACGGCGACGGCGACGACGACACTCTGGCCTTCTGAGAAGCCAACTCTGTTTCGGAGAAGGCTCAGACAATTTCTCTGAAGACTGGAGGCCTTCCGAGTTTTCTGAGAAGGCCTGCCCCCTCTCACTTTCCCCGTGGGCTCGCCGCCGACTCGTGGGATTTCGAGATTACCACACCGTCTGTCACCATAGCTACTTGTTCAGCCGAGATTAGAGAAAGACGACATGGAAAGAGAGAGAGAGAGAGAGCGAGCGAGCGTGCAAGACAATAAAGAGGTAGCACTTCAATGACCAACGCCATGAGACAAACGTGTGTGTAGGATGACTAGTTTTCGCCAACAGCACACACAAGCAAGTGGCACTATGGTTGGGCGGGTAACACGCACATGTATATGTTTATCTGTGCGAGACATCACGTCTCTGTAAGAACGTCACAACTCGGCTCGGACATGGACCATGTCGGAGGTGAGGGGGTGAGATCGAAATGGAACGGAGAGCCCCCCTACCGGGAAATCGATTTCGGTTTCGTGTTCGTGCGTGCCGTGCGGGCGAGGCGAAGCTGCGTGGGCGGGCGAGAGAAAGTCTCCTGTGGCTGAGGCGCGGCTGGACCAAATGACTCCCTTCCGGGCGGGCGGGGGCCCGCGGTGTCCCGCCGGTGTCCCGCTGGTGTCCCGTGTGGCTGAGGCGCGGCCGGACCAAATGACTCCCTTCCGGGCGGCCGGGGGCCCGCGGTGTCCCGCCGGTGCCCCGTCGGTGTCCCAATTATGGTGATGATATTGATGATGATGATGATGATGATGATGATGATGATGATGGTGATGATGGTGTGATGATGACGATGTTGATGTTTGTTTTGATGATCGATAGTGAGATCGGTATTGATATCGATTGTGATATCGATTGTGAGATCGAATGTCAAATCGCTTGTGAGATCGATTGTGAGATCGATTGTGATACCGAATGTGAGATCGATAATGAGATCGATAGTGAGATCGGTTGTGAGACCGAATGGGATATCGATTGTGAGATCGATTGTGATATCGATAGTGAGATCGATAGTGAGACCGAATGTGAGATCAATTGTGGAATCTATTGTGAGATCGATAGTCAGATCGATTGTGAGATCGATCGATTGAGTTAGTAGTGAGATCACTATCGGTAATGAGATCGGTAGTGATTTCGATAGTGAGATCGATGATGAGACCGAATGTGAGATCGATTGTGAGTTCGGCTGTGATATCGATAGTGAGATCGATAGTGAGATCGATAATGAGATCGAAAGTGAGTTCGATAGAGAGATCGATAGTGAGGCCGAATGCGAGATCGATTGTGAGATCGATTGTGATATCGATAGTGAGATCGATAGTGATACCGAATGTGAGATCGATAATGAGATCGATAGTGAGTTTGATAGTGAGATCGATAGTCAGATCGAATGCGAGATCGATTGTGATATCGATTGTGAGATCAATAGCGAGACCGAATGTTAGATCGATTGTGGGATCGATTGTGAGATTGATTGTGAGATCGATAGTCAGATCGATTGTGAGATCTATCGATTGAGATCGATTGTGAGATCGGTAGTGAGTTCGATAGTGAGATCAATCGAGTGCGACGTTGGTCCCTCCCCTTCCCTCACCTCCTTATCACCCGAAGGGTGGTCTATGCGGTATAGTTGAAAACATGACGGCGTTTGAAAACAAGGATTGTGGAAATTGCCAACCATCGCGTAGCTGCAACAGCTCGTCGGGCACATAGTCAGCATACAGTAGCAATAAGATCTCGCCGCGGCGGTGCTGGCCTTAGGCATTCCAAGCAGTGCTTCAGATTGAATATTGCCAGCAGGAACTTACAGCAAGCGAGGACCCCAAACAGTAAGCGACTGCTGCCCAGATGGGTAACGTGTGAGGAGCAGTCTGTGGGATGCAGTCTAGCACAGCACAGCACTGAAAGAAAAAACGATGGGACACCCGAAGTGCAACCACGGACTGGGGAAACTGTGCTGGCAGAGGGCCAGGCCAGAGCAGCCCCGAGACGGAGGAGGAGGAGGAGGAGGAGGCGGAGGAGGAGGAGAAGGAGGGGGGGGGGGGAAAGGGAGGGGGGGGGGGAATAGGAGGGGGAGAAGGATGAGGAGGCAGAAGAGGATCAGAGGGAGGGAGCAGAGAGCAGGGAGCAGAAGGAAGAGTAGGACGACAAAGATGAGGGAAGGAGAAGCAGAGTGAACAGAGTGGGAAGAGAAGGGACGAAACAAACATTATCCCAGTGCGACCCCACCTAGGAGTTGGGACCCCTAGGAAAGCAGCATTAGTAGTAACAGTAACGCTAAGCTAAAGCTAAGCTAAAGCTAAGCTGAAGCTAAGCTAAAGCTAAGCCACAGCTAAGCTAAAGCTTAGCTAAAGCTAAGCTAAAGCTAAGCTAAAGCTAAGCTAAAGCTAAGCTAAAGCTAAGCTAAAGCTAAGCTAAAGCTAAGCTAAAGCTAAGCTAAAGCTAAGCTTAAGCTAAGCTAAAGCTAAGCTAAAGCTAAGCTAAAGCTAAGCTAAAGCTAAGCTAAAGCTATGCTAAAGCTAAGCTACAGCTTAGCTACAGCTAAGCTAAGGCTAAACTAAAGCTAAGCTAAAGCTAAGTTAAACGCTAAGCGAAAAGCTAAGCTAAAGGTAAGTAAAGCTAAGCTAAAGCTAAAGCTAAAGCTAAAGCTAAAGCTCCCAGGGGACTGGGGGGAACCGCTCCCAGGGGACCGGGGAAACCGCCCGGGGCGCTTTCCATTGCCCGGCCCCTTTAAGCTAAGAGAGTAAGAACCCTTCTAGGCAGAGCCTAGGTAGGGAATGACTGGTGAAGAAAGATGATGCGACAGGAGGAGGAGGAAGCACCACGTCCGTCCAAAGAGTACACATGTTAATGTAGGCTTCTACCCCCGTGAAGGGCGTCACAATGCATTCATAGACACGGCTACGCTATTCCTAGATGCCATTGAGCACCACTCCGAAACGACGGATGTGGTTGGATCGTGGCGATAACCGGTACTGCTCATAGCGTTCCCCTTTCATTCCTGGTTCAACGCTCCTGCTTTTCACACGTACACGCTGAGATGGGGTAGAAGACTCGCCACTCATTTATGCCTGGGAGTGCGGTTGGAAATGATATGCTGACGTTATTCCTACT